GATCTAGAAATTTTCACCATTTTTTTGTGAAATAAGTTTGTAGTATTACAGATTTTTTTGAGAGAAAAGTTTTGAGAAAGAAGTGAAGTCTAGATATCTGAAAATCATAAACTATTTATGGGTTTGAAAATGTGCTTCCAACAGTCATAACTTTTCAAAACACCCATTGGAAAAAATTGACACCCTTCAACAGTCAATTATATGTTGATAATTTGATCAATTCAAAATTTTAAAAATAACAGTAATAAAAAAATAATGTACTCAAGATATATATACTAAAAAAATAGAACATTTAAGCGGCAGCGGCAAGCGTGCAAAGTGCTAAGTGCGTCTAATAATCGCGTCAAAATCGCGCATTATTCGCGCTACCCGCACGCGGGTTTAGAAGCCTACACTTTGATCCATTATTCAAAGCCCAATAAGCATTCAATGCTTTTAAACCTCTAAAAGAATGTTCAAAATTCTAATGTGGGACTATCTTATTTTTTACAAACAAATACTAACACAAACTTGAAGGCAATGAAAACAATGTGTGTGTATTATTTGAGCTCTAAGTATAAATACACAAAGTATAAACTAAAACTACAAAACTAATTACCCAAGCTATAGGTCTTCAATGTAGCCCATCTTGGTTGCGGATGAAGCTTGATCTTGTATTTGACTTTGAATTCATCATTGCTTCATTCCGGTATCTGTTAACCTCCTTTGAATGTCATCGTTAAGCTCAATCCAACCAACCTCCAACCTCGATGTTTGTCTAGAATACCTAATAAACAAATATAAACACAAGACAAACGATGTTAGGAATTGTTTGTAAATGCATCAAAATAAGATTATACCGTAGGCTTATAAATATGACACCTAACAACATCAACACATTACTGGTATATAAGGGACTAATATCAAAATATAAAGATTTGACGGACTAATATCAAAATAGCTACGATTTATGGGAGTAATATATAAAACCCCAAAAACTAAACATAAAATTCAATCCCCTTACGTAGGATTTTAAACAATAGCTAGATTACTAAACTAGCCCGCTAACATACGGAGCTAACACATAATGATAGAAACTAAATTAAACTAAAATTCTTTAATGCGCAGTTTGAGCTTGGAAAATAATTACTTCCACTCTAAAACTCTTTTGGAACAGAAAATTCATTAAAGGTGCTCCTCCCTGCAATAAAAACATTAAGGGGCTGTTTGGTTGTATGTTTTTACCATGTAAAATGATGGAAAGTGTAAAAAAGTGGGTCCCAATGTCAGCTTTCATCACTTTCAATTGTTTGTTTGTAATTGTGAAAATAATGTAAAGTGATTTCATATGCTGATGTGGCTTGTAAAGTGATTTCATATAAAAAAGACATGATTTTAGGAGAAAGCTAACATTGAAGTCAGGAAAAAATAATAAAAAATAATTCCAACCAATATGATCATTTGAGTAGGGACCGTTTGTTACACTTTGTTACACTTTTCAAACAAACAATTAAAGTTAAATTTGCAAACCAAACAAGATATTTATGATTCCAATGGAATAAAAAACAAACAAAGAAAAGTATAAAAGTAAAATTGATGAAATGGACAACAATTTTCCAAGTTGTGTCATAAATACACAACTTTACCAACAACAACCAAACAGCCCCTAACCACCGTGAAAAATGGTAATAGCTGAATTAGTTATGGACATCAATAGAATGACACATATATTTCTTCAATAGTATCTTCTTTGATTTTATTAGTATTGTTTTGTTTGTACAAATTGCTTCGTCTGTTGAGTACACAATCAATTCTTCCATCCTGAGACAACTCATCTGAACCCAGCACAGAAAATCAACGAATGCTCCTCTAGAAAGAATTTCCCTATGCACAACAAAGTACAATTGACATCCTTTACCATCCTGAGACAACCCATCTAAACCCAGTACAGAATCTCAATGATTACTCGTCTCCAAAGAATTTCTCTATTACTTCAATGACTCCATTTACCACAGCAAGAAAAGTTTAAAAAAAATTCACAGCCCTGCTGCCACTGATCCAACAAGAGTAAACAAGCACACAAGAAACATTGCACAGCTGAAACTCGAAAGCACAACCCATTTTCTGGTCCAGGCTTCTACCTTCTTCTGCACAAGGTAAATATTCACCGGAAAGTAGACCGCGAGGAGCCAGAAGCTGATGGAACCCACCACTCCCAGTACCCCATTAAAAATCTTAATCTCTGGAAATATTATTGCAACCACAATTGTCACGGCCACGAATAGAGTTCTGAAGCTTAATCTCAGCAAAGTAGTTCTAATAGGCGGCAAGAACTGGATATTGACATGGTGGGAATTATTTATGAATCCGTTGCTGGGGAAAAAATTGCGGAGTGATCCCTCCACACATGAAAAAACTGTCTGGCTGTACATCTGATAAACCATGAGGAGTTTTTTTAGCAAAAAGGTCATGAATTAATCCTGCAATCTGTCATATGGATCAACAATATATAGAAATTTGTATTTTTACCAAATTAAGATGGTGAAGGATCTCTACCTGGTAACCTCCCAGTAGGTGAATAACAATGCAAAAATTGGCCACTTTAACTGCCCAGTTAGGCCCGTCAGGACCAAATTCAACAAGCAGGCTCCCTGGTGTGTCTTTTCCAAAGGCAGCATATTCCAAACATGAAGAAAGAATGTAGAAAACTGTGGTGATGCTGAGGGAGATAGCCGATGCTTTCTTCATTCTCTCGTTCTCTGGTGGCTTAAGAGTATCCTTCAATCAAAGAAAGCATCTAAGTTTCAGATTGAGCAAACTATTTTGGAAGTTTCGGAATCATCAATGTATTGACGGTCTCTCTTTTGCTAACTTTTACCTGAATCTCGAATAGAATTGTTGTGAACGGATAGGCAAATAATATGGCCCCAAGTGCTTGAGCGATCTGCCACACTTCTTGAGATGACGAAACCATAGAAAGCCTTCTAATTCTTCCTGCAGGTGTCTTTCTATTTGCTGAAACACATTCATTTATTAGGCCCAGACATACATTTCTTCCCCAAGGATTATATTGTTTGCAAACAGTTAAAATTGTCTTTTATTATATTTATGATTTTATTCATTCTCTTCATATTATCTAAAAGTTGTTATAATTAACTTCACACATCTACCCCTGTGCAAACATGTATACAATATGATTTTTTGTTCCCTCTGCTTAGATTTTGTTAAGTTGACTTAACATGTTGTAATAATATATGATGTTGATCAACCTTTAGAATATAGTAAGAGGGCACATCATGACCCTTCCAGATGCAATCTTAAAATCACTGTTAATTTACTTAGAAGTCCTATTTATATAGTATACCAACAAAACTAGCAACCCTGTTCAATGGCAACTTCTATCTGTGGTTATCGCATCTCAACTATTGATTTAAAGAAGAAGACACTCTGAGCTTTTACTTACCTATCAATTTGAGAGAACTCTGAAGAATTCCAATAAGCGTGTAGACAATGGACATGATTGCAGCCAGAAAGGTTAAAAATCTATTGTTATAAAAGTCCGATATCTGAGATAGAAATATCTGAGCACCTCCAAACATCAGCAAGAAGTAAGTAATTCCATTTGAACCCCAACCAAAAGATTTCCATAAGACCCTGCATTCAGAACAAGCAAGAGAAAGAACTAAAACTTTTTTATTCTCTTCCTTTTCACATCCAAATTAGACTTAAATCAGCAACAATTTCCTGAATTCAATAGAGAATTAGCTAACTATAGCATAAATTTATATAAATTGAAATAACCCATAACAATGGAAGCAGTATAATTGAGGAATCCCTCCTAAGAAAAAAAAGAAAAAGAAAAAGGGAAAAAGATGTTATAACTGTCCCAACACAAGCTTAGGTATTTGAAGCTTTTAGTTGCCATGACTGTTGAAATATTAGTGCAAAGTTATACAAAAATTTTACCAACTGTATAAAATAAGCTAAAAGGTTAAGCTAATTAAGAAATTCAAGCAAGAGCGTAGTCACATATTTAAATATTAATGCAAAGTTACAAAGACTACAATGATGGAGATAGAGCTAGGCCCAAAACAAACTAGCTGAAGTTTCAGGGAAAAATTTGGTTCCTCCTCATTATCACAACCTCTGTCCCAAATTTATGCAAGATTAAATCAAGACCACAAGTCTTTGATCAGTTGGTATCCTTTTGCTCTTTACATATATTTCTGCAATACCCAAACACCATATTTCAAAAAATTTATATGCCAGTCTCTTGTTAAGCCTCCGACTCAAGTCATCATGTCCCCATGCTATCACCGTGTCACTATAGTTTCAGCATTTTGCATGAAAGATCTAATCACATGCTTAGATATGTGATGCTCAACATCTGTTCTCGTGCCATGTACATGCGCCACAATAAGGAATAATAATCATATCAACTACTCGTTTATTTTGGATTAGATGATTCCCAACTTTTTTTGTTTCTAAAAGTCAGAACCTTCTACATTTATGATCCAGGTTGAACCAAAGTTCCATCCCCTTTAGCACATGAAGAAACAAATTCAAAGTTAAGATGCTAGGAAAATGTCAGGGATGCCTTGATGTTAATCAACAACATTTCATGAAATTCCTAAAACCATGGAATTAGAATTTCTGCTCAAATTATTTTTAGTCCTTTGATCTCGTTGTAGTCATAACTATTTTCTTTTTTAATGTACGGCAATCTAATGCATGATCATAAAACTTAAATATTGGAAGTGAATATCTTCTGAGAGAAGAAATGAAATTTTGATTTCAGAATGTCACTGTCCAACCTAACATAACCATGGACATGGTTATTCATAAACGAATATAATCTGCCTGTGGATTTCACAAGTTTAGATTTTAAACAGAGGGCCTTGGATCTCTATCACAACACCCAAAAAAATTCGAAAGAAGGTCTTAAACATATAATGCAAGGGAACAGAAGATAAGCGCCTATCCCTAATACAAAAGATATTATTAAAATTTTAATAAGCGGCTAACGGATTGCTGAAAGCATAATACCTCATGCTAGTGGCAGATGTAATGTTGTAAGCTATTGCAGTCCCAACGATATATGCTTGCTGAAAGCACACACAAACCCAGGCAGCCGTCACACCTACATATACGACAATACCTCATGCTACAGTTCTTAATCCAAAGCTATTAAAAGATTGATTTTCTTCTTTCTTTGTCATATTACTGGATTGTCTATGTTTGTTTTCAACTCTTCTGGCAAGTATTACTGGCAAGCTCAAAATTAGTGGTTATTTCGGCTTTGTTAAGGATACATATGTATAGCTTTTCAAATAGAAAAGTAGATGAAATGAGTACAAGAAGAAGGTCGATTTTTTAAATCAATTCAGCTCCATAACGGAAAAAAGAGTTGAATGAGAATAAAGAAATTTGTTAAATTTTCTGAAAATCTTTTGCGCATTTAGACCGTAATCCATGATATGGAAGTGAGAATAACTGTGCCATTTATTATTTGATAATGTTACAGCCCTGGTGAAATAGGATGAGGTTCCTAAACAAATTTACCTCTTGAGGGGGAAAATGCCCTAAAATTTTCTTTAAAATATTAAACGTATAGTTATATGGACATGATAAGCATTCCATTTATAGTTATATGCCCTAAAATTCTTTGATAAGTACATAAATTCTTTCAATAGAAAGAAGGGTTGACAATTTTACCAAATTTTTCTCTCACAGCATCCATGTATGTACTGTTAATAGGGTGTCGGGCATCTGATGATATGTAACAATCAGCAAGCACAGTAGACTGGAAATATGTGATTCCAGCAACAAAAACCATGAAAAGAGTGCCACCAATCCAACCCAACTGAGTCAGACTACACGCCAGTGATAGAACCCCGGACCCTATCATTGCTGTTATTATGTGTGCACTGGCAGTGAAAGTAGTTCCTGATCAAGGGAAGGGAAAGAAACAAGTAAATTTGTAGTTGTTGGGTTTACATTTGTCCATGACTAATTTATAATATAAATAACACGACATATCTTGTTCAGATCAGTACGTAAACAAGGTAATTGAACAAATAATCCAAACTTTACTTTGCAGTATTTCGCATAAGTGAAGAAGAAAACACAGTAACCACTCAACATGACATCGTTAGATCTACTTGATTGTTTTTTTTCCCGAAATGTTATGCATAGAAAGTGTAAATAACCTGTCCGAACATTGATCCATAGGCTTCCACTACATTGCTTTTTGAGGGAACTGTTGGAAACTACCCCCAGGGTTTCATTATTAAGAGTTTAACAAAACAAACCCAAAGTACAAAAGCAGAAAATGCCATAGACAAAAAAGCTTATGCTAAATTGTTTAACGGGTTAATGCAAACATATTGATAATATTGTAGAATTGGCAGAATAGCAGTTTTCAGACTCAGGATTCATGCAGACAGGTTGGCGGTCGACCGTGGCGGTCGACCGCGTTAGTGCACAGAGCTTACTGGGCGAGCAGCATAAAGAGGAGATTTGGGGCTTCTATTGTTGGAGCCATTTGGAGAGATTAAGAGGGCTTATTTGTGGGTTTTGGTAAGATTTGTAACCCTAATTTGTATCCCCCTTGATTTTAAATAGTAAAACTCCCTCATCCTCGTCCCGTGGACGTAGGCACATTGCCGAACCACATAAATCTTGTGTTCTTGCTGTGATCTATTATTGGTTCTTGTGTGTGCTATTGACTTGTCAATTCGGCTTCCGCGGCGCACAACAAGTGGTATCAGAGCTCCGGCTTGGATTTGGGAGTTTTGTTCGAAGGATTCACTGTTAGATTCTTGTTTGGAGAGTAGATCTATAATATGGGTGATACAAACAGGGCTAGTTCAAATGCTACTAGTACATCGGAGTCGGTTTTGACAAAGGCGATCCAAAATTTGAGCATCAATAATACTAAAATTGATGTTCCAAAGTTCGACGGCAAGATCAACTTCGGTTTGTGGAGGTGTCAAGTTATGGACGCCTTAGATGTACAAAATTTGGAAGAGACTCTTGAGCTACAAGAGAAACCCGACGATATTGATGACAGAGTTTGGAAGAAAATGCACAGTAAGGCTTGTGGGGTTATGCGGTCATGCTTGACGCCGGATCTCATTTATGATGTGATGAACGAGACGTTGGCGAAGAGATTGTGGGAAACACTCAATGAAAAATATTTGACGAAGAGCATTGAGAATCGGCTTCATTTGAAAAAGAGGTTCTACCAATTCAAGATGAAGAGGGGAGTTTCCATTTGGGAGCATGTTAACAACTTCACAAAGCTAATTTCGGATATGGCTAATGTAGATATCATGGTGAAGGATAAAGACAAGACGATGTTACTATTGTGTTCGTTGCCGGATGATGAGTTTAGTACGTTTGTTCTTATTATGATAAATGAACGAACTACAGTTAGCTACAAGGAGGTTACCTCGGCGTTGGTAAATTATGAGCTGAGGAAGAATGATGGTGAGCCCTCCGAGAAGACATCGGGTGATGCATTAGTAGTTCATGGTCGTAGTCCAAACCGTCAAAGGTTCAACAGCTCAAAATCAAAGAATAGGGGTGGCCATAAGAGTGTTGGTAGAAATTAATGTGTCTTTTACAAAGAAGAGGGACATTGAAAAAATAAATGCCGAAAGTTGAAGGATAGAGCCGGGAAGCAAAGGAAGAAAGTTGTATAAGCTTCAGAGGTGAATGTTGCTAAAGTTATTAGCGACACTTCAGATTCAGATTCTTCCGGTTATTTTTGTCCCGCACTGCCGTCAGTTTGTTATGTCGACTCTACGGAGTGGATGCTTGATTCGGGAGCTACATTTCATATTTGTCCTAAGAAGGATTGGTTTACCAACCTTGAGTTGGAGAGAGTGGACGTGGTGCTCATGAGGAACGACCACGTTTGTCTTATTAGTGGAATTGGCTCAGTCAGAATCAGAATGCATGATGGGGTAACTAGAGAGTTGAAAGAAGTAAGGTTCGTGTTGCAGTTGACAAAGAACATCATTTCTCTTAGGACTTTGGAGGCAGCTGGTTATAGAGTGATCTTAGAGGATGCTACATTGAAGGTCATGAAGGGGTCCATGGTGGTGATGCAGGATGTCAGGAAAAATAATCTATACTACTTGAAGGGCAAGACAGTTAAAGGGGGTCTGGCTGTTTCTATCATCACAGAGGAGGATACTATCACACTATAACACATGATGCTTGGACACACAGGTGATAAATCCCTACAGTCATTAGCAAAACAGGGGCTATTTAAAGGTGCAAAGACCTGTAAGATGGAGCTGTGTAAGCATTGTATATTTGGAAAAAAGACTAAAGTGAAGTTTGACATCGCTATTCACAACACCCAAGGTATATTAGATTACATTCACACAGATGTTTTGGATCCTTCTAAGCACACATCGCTTGCTAGGGCAAATTATTTTGTCATTTTCATTGATGATTATTCCAGGAGGAATTGGGTATATACCATAAAACATAAACATGAGGTTCTGGATATATTTGTGGAGTGAAAGAAGAAAGTGAAGCTGCAGACAGGTAGAAATGTGAAGACTCTTCATTCAGACAATAGTGGAGAGTATAAGAGTGATCCATTTCTGTAGTTTTGTCGGGATCACGGCATTAGAAGACACTTCACAGTTAGAGAGACACCGTAACAGAATGGGGTGACAGAGAGGCTGAACCGTACCTTGCTGGAGAAGGTGCGATGAATGATGACGCAGAGTGGATTGGCTAGATCCTTTTGGACTGAGGCGTTAGTTTATGCGAGCCATCTCGTTAACAGGTTGCCATGCACTGCGATAGAGGGGAAGACTCTGATGGAGCGTTAGTCTGGTTCTGTGGTTAGTGATTATGAGACTCTTCGGATATTTGGGTGTCCAGCTTATTTCCATGTCAGTAATGGGAAGTTGAATCCGATGGTAAGGAAGACTGTCTTTGTGAGATTTAGAGAAGGTGTCAAAATCTTCAAATTATGGGATCCACAAGACAAAAAGATGGTAATTAGCAGAGATGTCACATTTGATAAGACGTACATGATGAAGTGTCGAGTTCCTTAGCAGATGGAGGAAGATCAGACAGGAGGGATATCACAGCAGGAGGAGGATGATGTGACTCCACCCACTCCAGTCAGTACTGTGTTCATTGAGACTCCTACAAAGGTAATACTGGAAGGAGATGAGATGACAGTCGGGTATTTGGAGGATACAGTGGATGGTGAGGCTCAGGAGCAGGGTTATGCTCAGGGGTCCATTACAGCAGATAGACCGAGAAGAGAGATTTATCGGCCAGCTAGATATGATGATGTCATGGTGGCATATGCTTTATCGGTGGAGGTCGTTGATTTGATTCCTGTCATATTCAGGAAGGCAGAGTCTAGCCCTGATTCCATTAGGTGGAGGAATGCTATGGAGGAGGAGATGTAATCTCTTCAGAAGAACGACACTTAGGAACTTGCAAAGCTACCTAAGGTAAGAAAGTTATTGGTTACAAGTGGATGTATGCTAAGAAGGAGGGATCTTCTATTGGGGACATTCGATTCAAAGTCAGATTAGTTGCTAAGGGATATGCACAGCTTGAGGGCGTTGATTACAACGAGGTGTTTTCACCTGTTGTGAAGCATTCGTCGATTCGGATACTATTGGCATTGGTGGCACAGCTGGACTTAGATTTGATCCAAATAGACGTGAAGACGGCCTTTCTACATGGAGACTTAGACGAGGAGATCTACATGACACAACATATGGGGTTTAAAGCTGCAGGAAGGGAAAATTTAGTGTGCAAATTGAAGAAATCTCTTTATGGACTGAAACAATCACCGCGACAGTGGTACAAGAGATTTGATAGCTTTATGATTGGCCAAAGGTACACGAGGAGCCCTTATGACCCATGTGTTTATATGCGTAAGCTACAGGATGGTAAGCATATTTATTTGTTATTGTATGTTGATGTTGTGCTCATAGCTTCCAGAAACACTTCAGCTGTTGGGAAATTTAAAAAAAAAAGCTGTTATCTGAATTTGAGATGAAGGACCTGGGAGAGGCTAAAAAGATATTGGGTATGAAGATTGAGCGAGATAGGGTGAAGGAGAAATTAAAGCTTACACAGAGGAGTTACTTGCAGAAGATGCTGAAAAAATTCAGTTTTGAAGATAATACCAATGTGGTGAGTACTCCATTAGCTCCCCACTTCAAGCTTTCAGCTTTGATGTCACCAGTTTCAGTGGAGGATCGGGGCTACATGTCCAAAGTTTCATACGTCAGCGCAGTGGGTAGCTTAATGTATGTTATGGTGTGTACAAGGTCAGATTTATCACAGGCCGTGAGCATGATATCTAGGTACATGCACAACCCCGGGAAGGAGCATTAGGAGGCCGTGAAGTGGATTCTACAGTATATTAAGGGTACCGTAGATGTTGGGTTGATATTTGTGAAGAATGGTGAGACAAGGCAGGATTATATTGGCTACGTGAATTCAGACTATGCCGGAGATACTGATAAGCGTCGGTCCACTACAGGTTATGTTTTTATATTAACTAGTGCACCGGTGTGTTGGAGATACTCTTAAGTCTACAGTGACGCTTTCTACTACGGAGGCGGAATATATGGCGATGACTGAAGCAGTAAAGGAGGCTTTGTGGCTACATGGTTTGTTGGATGATTTGGGAATTACACAGGAGATCATTCAGGTATATTGTGATAGCATGTCAGCTATCTATTTGGCGAAGAACCAAGTCTACCATGCACGCACGAAACACATTGATGTCAGATTTTACTTTGTACGTGACGTAGATGATGGTGATGTCACGTTGGAGAAGGTCCACACTAAGGATAACCCTGCTGATATGTTGACTAAAGTTGTACCAGGTGTGAAGTTTGGTCATTGTTTGAACCTATTGAACATTCTTCATTGTTGAGGTCGTTGGCGACCATTTGGTTGAACTACGTTCGACTTGATTCCTTGGACAAGAGGATACGTAGACAGTCTTACAGATGCAGTCGGTTGTATGAGTTGAGATTGATTGGGGGGTTTTTGGTGTTGGCTTAGTTTTGACAAAATGTTCGCCGAGGTGGAGATTTGTAGAATTGGCAGAATAGCAGTTTTCAGGCTCAGGATTCATGCAGATAGGTTGGCGGTCGACCGTGGCGGTCGACCGCGCGACCGCAGAAGTTTTTGTTTTTGTGGCGGTCGACTGCCACGGTCGACCGCAGTTTTCTCTGGATTTTGATGTTGTTCTGGCATTGAGGGCGGTCGACCGTGGCAGTCACGATGATGGATCGCGATCGACCGTGGCAGTCAACCGCGATGGATCGCGGTCGACTTCCATGATCGACCGTCGAAGCGGTTTTGGGCTGATTCATGTTTCAGACCCGTTTCGTTTGTGAGTTGTATAAATACCATTAACTCGTTTTTAGGGTTTAAAGGGAGAAGATTTTGAGCAGCTAAAGGAGGAGATTTTGGGCTTCTATTGTTGGAGCTATTTGGAGAGATTAAGAGGGCTTATTTGTGGGTTTTGGTAAGATTTATAACCCTAATTTGTATCCCCTTGATTTCAAATAGTAAAACTCCCCCCTCTTTGCCTCGTGGACGTAGGCACATTGTCGAACCACGTAAATCTTGTGTTCTTGCTGTGATTGGATTGCTTGTGTTCTATTGTGATCTATTATTGGTTCTTGTGTGTGTTATTGACTTGTCGATTCGGTTTCCGCGACGCACAACAAATATGGCAGCTGAACTTGGTCATCAAGAAAGTGAATCACGATTGCAGACAAGGAAAAAAAAAGGTTTTCCCTCCCTAGAAGCCATCGTAATAGTGTATTATACGGAAACCACCTTTCACTCTCAAGTTATACATAAACATTTTAAAGTGGGTTTTTGATGCAATTAACCACCTCCTTGTCAATTTTTTCACTAAAACCCCAAAATTACCCTTAAATACTCACATTGAAGGCACATCACTCATTTTCTAAGTATTTCGATCTATAACTCATGTACCTTGCACTTGAATTTTTGTTGAACTTATTGTTAGTTTTTTAGTGAATATTTGGATGGAAGGTGGTTGACTACAATAAAAACCTACTTTAAATGTTGTGGTTTATGTATAAATTAAAATTGTAGCTGAAAGGTGATTTTTTATATCAATGTCAAGAACACATATCTATTCCTAACAAACAAAATAAACATAGATCAAAATATCAATGTCAAGAACATATATCTATTCCTAACAAACAAAATACTTGCAATCGAAAAAATGGCTTGAAAAGATATAGGTATATTCAAAAAACAACAACCACAACAGGAAATTGAAATGGCTCAGAATGCACGCTCCATGCTGCTTTAGTTTATCAAAAATATGAATCAAGAACAGATATCTAAAATCAATTACTGAACCGTTGCTTTTAATTAGTGAAGAAATTTAAAAAAAAAAAGAGAGAAAATCAAAGCTTATTAAACCCAAACCCCATGATCTTCATTCTACAAAGAAAAAGAAAAGGAAAAAGAAATTTGGAGGATTAAGCTTCATAATCTTAGTGATTCGATTTCTCATTTCTCTAGTTCTTAGTTAAGATTGTTGGCTTGTAATTAGGGGAAAAAACCTTGTTTTCGGCCGCCGCGTCGTCTCCGGCGATGGTACGAAGAACGCTCCGGCTCTCCAGTGGCCACCCTGGCTGCCGCCGAACCCAATCAAACCCATTAGGGTTCGCGTGCAGACAATGAACAGAGAAAGGTGAGGACGAAATGGATACTTTTCTCTGTCGCCCTTGACCGAGAAGCATTAGCTTTGTACCCAAAATAGCTTATGCAACATCGTTTGTATTAAAATACTTATATATATATTACATGGTACGGTTCTCCAAAGTGTTGTCAGAATTAGCGTGAATAGATTTTTTTTTCTTATTAGTTATCTTTTAGAATATTTGATATAAAAATAATCTATTATACGCTATTTTAAATAATAGTCTTATTTTAGTAAAAAGCAACTATTGAATCAAACATGTTATTTCTATTTTATTGTAGAAAAATATATAAAACAATTTGACATTGTGTAGTTATTTATCTTTGACAAGATAAATATTAACTAGTGTGGCCAACTATATTTTAGAATTACCGTTCACATGATATTTATTGAAAGGTTGTATACTTGATGAAATTATACTCTATTTTTTCATAAACAGTCTCTTTTTCATGAAAGATATATATTACAGAGTACGGTTCTCCAAAGTGTTGTCAGAATTAGCGTGAATAGATTTTTTTTTTCTTATTAGTTATCTTTTAGAATATTTGATATAAAAATAATCTATTATACGCTATTTTAAATAATAGTCTTATTTTAGTAAAAAGCAACTATTGAATCAAACATGTTATTTCTATTTCATTGTAGAAAAATATATAAAACAATTTGACATTGTGTAGTTATTTATCTTTGACAAGATAAATATTAACTAGTGTGGCCAACTATATTTTAGAATTACCGTTCACATGATATTTATTGAAAGGTTGTATACTTGATGAAATTATACTCTATTTTTTCATAAACAGTCTCTTTTTCATGAAAGATATATGATAAAAGTTTACAAAAGCATTTATATCGGTTTTTGTACAAGTAGAAATTGCAAGTGATATTTTCAAAAGTATTTAAAATGTTAAAAATTCTCTAAAGTCCACAACATTTCAGAGTGTCCGGTGCTCAACAGTTCCACTGATGATATGTTGTTTTGTTTTATCAAAGAAGTGAGTCAAGAACATGTCTCAAAGAAAAAGGGGAAAAAAACATACGTATATTGATCTAAACATCGGCTTCTCCTTGTACACAAGAAGATTGCAAATACACTTCAAAGACAAAATCTATTCCCCAAAAGGACAAAAATCTTATAGTAAAAACAAATAGATTGAAGCTATCAAAAAAACATAACAAACATTAGAGGAAAATATGGTCGGCTACTTGGAAAAGATATGAAAGAAAAAAATTAATAAAAGTTACATAATAAGAAAGTCAAATGGCTCAGAATGTGGGCTCGCTGTTGCTTTGGTTTATCGAAATAGTGAATCAAGAACATATCTCAGAAACACAAAATAGCTAATCAAGAATAGATATCAAAGAAAACGAAAGAAAATATATAGATCATAAAGTCGACTTCTCCTGAGCCCTAAATCATTGCAAATGCACTTGAACGCAAAATTTATTCCCTAACTAATTAAAACCCAGTAATAAAAACAACTGGAAATTAACAAAAAAAATAAAATATAGCAAATTGAAATGCCTCAGAACTCAAGCTCACTGCTGCTTACGTTATCGAAAAAGTGAAACAAGAACAGATATCAAAGAAAAAAGAAACCAACATAGATCACGATATTGTCTTTCTCCGCAGAATTGCAAAATTAGCAGAAATGAGTGCTCACCAGTTTTGATGCTCTGCTGACTTGGTCTATTTGGGAGCAATGGCTGTGTTTGACCTTCGCCTCTTTCTTCTTGCCCTTCACTGGACGATGTGCTGTCTGCAACTCTCACTACACTTTCTTCTCGAGGATTTCGGCCTGATGGCGGGTCTTCACATTGGACGCCTCTTTCTCCTTCAGAATTTGCGGCCAGTGACCTGTTTTCGCCTTGAACCGCGACTGATCGTTCTTCTCGAGCATTTAGGCCTGACTGCATGTTTTCACCTTCGATCGCTGTTTCTCCTTCAGAATTTGTGGCCAATGACCTGTTTTCTCCTTGAACTGCGACTGTGCTTTCTTCTTGATCATCATCTGTGCCTGACTGCGTGTTTCCATCCTCTCCTGCACTTTCTCCTTCAAGATCCGAGGCTGATGACTTGCTTTCACCTTGGACCGCTCTTTTCTCTTCAGAACTACCTGTGCCCGATGTCGTCTTTTCAATCTCGCCTTCGCTTTCTTCTTGAGAATTAATTGTGCCTGAAGATTGCTGCTTGTTTTCAACATTGCCTGCTCTTTCTTCTTCTATGTTATTTTCTTCAGAATTCGTGACTGCTGCCGCTTTGTTGATTTCTGCACGTTCGCCCGCTCTCTCTGTTTTAGCCTTTTCGGCCGATGGCTTGTCTTCTTCTCCTTCTTCGGCTGCTCTTTTTCTTCCTTCTTCTCCTTCTCCTGCCATGGCTGAACTCTACTTTCTTGATGGAAATTCTTGGAATTTGGGGTTTTTCTTGTGATTTGGCTTTTTTTTTTTTTTGACCCCCTTGATGAAGAAGATTAAGCGACAGAAAACTGTATATTTGTAGAGTGAGGAGAGCGGGAACTCTTGCGGCGAATCACAACCGTTGATTTGGGCCCACAGGCAGTTTGACAGTTATCGCGTGCGCTGATACAGTTGGTGGCCGTTGATAAGTTGTTATTTTGTGTCCTGCGTTTCTCATTTGGCCCTTCAATTTATTTATATCGTCTTCACGGTTTTTCATGGGAGAATCATAGTGGCTCGTTATTGTCCCAAAAGTAGATATCCAAATAGCATGAAGTATTTGTCTTTTGTTGTTTTATAATTGCTGTCTACTATATTAATGATACACTAAGTAACTGATAATACTTTGTGAATCGCATTTTATTAAAGGGTTTGGGGCTGTTTGTTTGAAGGTGTTTTTTTGGAAAACCTGGTTTTTGGAACAAAAAGTAACATTTGTGTGGTTTTAGAAATCTAAAAATTGCGTTTGTTTCATTTTTTTTTAAGAAATGGTTTCCTAAAACCTTGTCAAATAGTGTTTTTTTTTTGCAGCGGCGAAATACTATCTAAAAGCTCTGAAATGGGTCTTTTTTAGAAATGAAAGGGTCAGCTCAGCTTCTCAGCCTCTCCGTTTTTCTCGTCGAGTACAAAACCGTCCTTAGGGCTCACCGCTTCTCATTACCCCCCGCCTCGCCATTTCCCTCTTCCTCTTCCCGCCGTTTCAAAAAAAATCAACGAATTTTTGCTCAAACGCGGGCATATTTTTGTGTAATGTTGATCCCCCTGTTGATTTCCTCCTTGCTGAACCCTAGCTATTGAGTTCGAGATGAAATTTCTTATTGTTTGGAGGTTTACAAAGGCTTCTGCAGTGTGATTTTGGGGGTTTTCAGGTAGCTTGCCGGCGTAGTTCTTGCGATGCAATTTGCTCTTAGATCAGTGACCTCGGTTCACCCCCTCACCCTATTCTGCAGATCTGACGTCTTGATTTCTCATATAGCTTTTCCTACTTAAGAAATCACCTAAAGGCCCTTCGGATCTGCTCTAAAATGTAGCAAAGGTATAATCTTTTAAAACTTTGTGATACTTGATTGTGTTTGAGGTTTGGTTATATTCAAACAATACTATTTTTTTTCTGCTAGTTGAAGACGTTAGTATTATGCTGATGTATGTTTACTGCTATACGTTGAGATAATTTCTGTTAAAATCTGATATTTAACAATATTTTCTCTCTAATTTTATTTATAATTGGTTAGCTATAGAGATGACTTTGCGTTTAAGGTTTTGCATGTGTTTAAAAATGTTTATTTAACTGTTGTAGATGGATGAGATGGATGCTGATACACTAATGAGGATGTCAAGTAATGCCACTATGTCTGCCATCGTTACTGTGTTGACTTGTTTAATGAGAATTCGTGCTAGAAAAAAAAACTATCACCTATCATCATAGGGAGGGAAAACAGAAAAAGATAGAGACTAGAAATGCCCACATCAACCGTGTATTTTTGGGCTATAGTCAAAGCTGTAGGGATTATGTTAGAATGAGGCCGCAGGCATTCGAAAATCTGGTTAGAATAATGAGAGTCAAGGGCCTACTACAGGATTCACGTGATGTTAAAGTAGAAGAACAATTGATCATGTTCCTGAATATATTAGGACATAAAACTAAAAATAGAATAGTTAGATCACATTTCATAAGATCCGGAGAAACAATTTCTAGATATTTCAACAAATGCCTAGAAGCTGTTGGTCGTATAAGGGGACGGTTCCTGAAGCAAGCACCAAATGAATTGGCGCCAGAGATTGCAAACAATCCTTTGTACTATCCTTATTTCAAGGTAACGAACTCATTCCCTTAACGTGAATTGAACAAATGAGCTTTTTTGTTGTCTGAATTAATAGTGATGTTCGTACAATATATAGGATTGCATTGGAATGATAGATGGAACTCACATCGACGCCATGCTTCCCGCTAGACTTGTCGCTCGCTTTAGAGGCCGTAAAGGTGTAACCTAAAATGTTCTAGCCGCATGCACCCCAAATAAGTTATTTTCGTACGTTCTAGCTGGATGGGAGGGATCTACAAATGATTATAGAGTGCTACAAGATGCACTTTCACGACCTCAGCCTCATGGGTTGAGGGTCTACGATGGTAATTAATTATTAATGACTAAATTTAATATTCAATTATAATATACATAAATATAGCTATTTACTACAATGTGTTGTTTATAATTGTAGGCAAATATTATTTGTGTGATGCGGGTTACACAACAATGCCTGGCTTCATCTCCCCTTATCGTGGCGTACGTTACCATTTAAATGAGCACAAGGGTAGGCCGATAAATAACAGAAGAGAGTTATTCAATTTACGACATTCATCACTAAGGTCTAAAATTGAATCGACCTTTGGATTATTGAAGAATCGTTTCAAAATCCTCACAGCAAAGCCTCATTATCCTTTTCCTACCCAAGTTGATATAGTTTTGGCTTGTGCTATACTTCATAACTATATTGCTACAATTGATCCGGGCGATGACCTATTGAATGAGGACATTCATATTGAGGACGATGATGGCGAGATAGATCATGAGGGTGATGACGAGATTGTTGTCGACTTTACGCAGAATATGACACAAAGAGAGGAAAGGGATTAAAGGAATGAATGGAAAGAGAAGGGGGACGAAATTGCAAGTGCTATGTGGGTAGATTATTGTAATAGGTATCGGGGTGGTAACACAAACGAGAGTGGCTTGTAATTTACAATATATTTCACATGAAATGTTGTTTTTCCTTACTTTGTTCACACAAACGAGAGTGGCTTGTAATTTACAATATATTTCACATGAAATGTTGTTTTTCCTTACTTTGTTCGCTGCACTTATTATTGTATTTGTCTATTTTCAATCTAGTTTTGGCTTGATTTAATACTTGCATTATATGACTTTGGTGTAACAGGAGCATTGTTCTTTACAATATGGCTGATTCTGGTGATGTTAGCAAAGGTAATGACAACGAAGCTACCCCTTCCCCTAAAACCCCTAAAATTCCCCCTTCACACATGAACATGAACTTCATTCCATTCCCTCATGTACCTTTTTCTGCTCCCTCTCCTTTCCCCCTTCACACATGAACATGAACTTCATTCCATTCCCTCATGTACCTTTTTCTGCTCCCTCTCCTTCATATCCACCTTACTCCCATTATGACAATAATTTCCCATGTATGACTCAACCCCCCATGTCATTTATGAATATGCTTAATAGCCACCTAATTATGCATGCAACCCCTAGTCCACATCACAGTGGTACCCACTCTACAGAGATCCCTTCACAGAAGCGGTCTATTGAAGTTGATGTCGAGGCAATATCACCTTTGAAAAAAAAAGCCTCAATATCACCTTTGAAAAAAAAGGATGTGTCAAAAAAAAAAGCAAAATCAAGAATTGTAGACAAGGCTCAAAACACTAGGGGCGTTCCTAACATGTATTGGAATGCAAGGCATGATGATGTTCTTATCCCTCTTCTTGCTCAGTTGGCAAGAGATGGTCTAAAGGTTGATAAGAACTTTAAGATGCATGCATACAAGGTAGCTGCTGATGAAGTCAACAAGCAATATGGAACTGAATTTACTAAAAAAAATGTGATGAACCATATGAAGAGCTTGAAGTCTAAGTTCTTTGATATGCGTACTGTAATGAACATGAGTGGTGCCGGATATGATCCGACGACAAAAATCGTCATCATGGATCCAGAGTCATTTGATATGTGGACGAAGGTATCATGATATTTTGCATATGAGCCTTGCTTTTTAAACTTGCCATCTTTAACTGTATCTTGCTTGCCTTCTTAACTTACCTTACTTTTCTATACAGGACAATAAGTATAGTTCTGCAAAATTGAAGGACTACTTGAACACGCCTCTCACTCACTATAATGATTTGTGTGTCATTGTCGGTGATGACCAAGCAAGGGGGAATTTCAGCAAAGATATGTGTAAGAAACTAGGTTCTAGTCGGCCTCCAGAATTTTTTGAACAGTTTGTAAATCTCGATGAAAATGATAATGATGAGGGCCACACCTCACATTTTGAGCCTGCGATACCAAGTGGTGAACAAACATACACCCAGGCACAAAATGTGAAGTCCTCTAGTGGAGTAACCTCCACTTCCAATGTGAAAACTCAATCAAAAAAGAAGAGTGGCGATTCACTAATGCGTGATCTCATCGAGTCCATGTCTTACTCAATCCAGAAGCAACATATTTTACATTGGAGTGAGAGCATGGGCAAGGTTTTATTAGCACATGCGCCTAATTTCTCTAAGACAATACTTGATAAGGTTCTGGATTTTTTGTATGACAATGAATCAGAATCTAGGAGGTTCATAATCAAATCAAAATATGCTCAGAAACTTTTCATAGAAAAGATTATCAGGGAAAATGGCTTTGACAAAGAGGACTGACCTAAGTGTGAACCTGTTTTCCTTCCATCTTTTGCACTAGCATGGGACTAACCTAAGTTTTTGATTTCAGCACTGATTATAGAGTGCTACAAGATAACAATGCTTTTAATTAGTCACCAATCAGTGACTATGTACTTTTGTAAACATAACCTCAGGGACATGTTATGAACATCTTAGGTGTAGTATTCTGAATCTGGTTTGCTGTATTCATGCTATGTGATTATGTTCTATTGCTTGTCATTGAGATCTATTGTTGTGTCCATGCTTCAGAGCTGTTTTACACATATACATGCCTCTGAGGATGTTTTAGGTAATGCCATTTCCTCAAGTCCACTTGGATGAATCTTTATGAGGTGATCCTAAAATCTTATTTGCTTGTATTTCATCTGTGCCTTTCCCTGACTTTCAACTCTTTTTTGTTTTTCCTGATAATTTGACCATATCATGTTATTTTGAATTTTTGGTATGGCTCTGTATGCTGTATGCTCAGTTGAAATTTGTGGTCAGTGTTTGCCTCACTTATTATTGTGTTTGTGTGCATGTGATTCAGGTTGGACA